TTTATATGCTGACAAACTTCTTATATTGTCAGTATTCCATTTCCCATTTCTCACTTTTGCCCTCTTATAATGTCAAACGTGAAAAGCAAAAAATATGAAAACTAGTCATGAGTCATGGAGTCAGATCAAAAGATTCATGCAATGCTCTAGAAAACACGATAACAACGAGATCAGTGATTGACAAAACATTTTAGAAAGATAATTCAGAAAACTGACCTCCTCCGGCATTCCAGCAAGAGCATCTGGAATATCGTCACGTTGCAGACAACTTAGTGTAAGACTTCTTTCCATTAATGTTTGAAATGGTATCACCAGCTCACAGTAGATAAGACCAAGAGAGAACACATCAACTTTGAAAGTGTATGGCCGATTTGCTAACTAGAATATCAGCTGAACTGTTGCAAAAAGAGGAGATTCAAGGTAACCTACCTGCTCCGGACTCATATAACCCCTCGTGCCCACATTATCAGTATGGATAGCGAAACGAGATGAGTTCTTTTCGATAGGTTGATCCTCGGCGGGAACACATCTGGTGACCAGCCCCAAGTCACCTACTTTCAATGTCTGATCTGATGCGAAGAATATATTTTGTGGCTAAACGAATGGCCTCATACGACAATCAGTGTAAGACAAATATTTGAGAAAAACATATGCAAACCTTCATATCGCGATGAATGAGTCCCTGTTGATGGATATAGCTAACCGCACTACACATTTGTATCATCCATATTTTCATTTTATCAATAGGACGATCTTCCCATGATCTATGTTCGGACAACCAAGCATGCAAGGTTTGCTCCTGACACAGCTAAAAACGAAAAATGTCGTGTGCAGCAACCTTTTTTCCTTTCGACGACCTGCATCTGGATGTATATATACACAAAGTTACTAGTGATCGGGCTTGGCATCAAATCCTCATCCGTTGAAGACACTAAGACCATCTGTAAAAAGAGATATACACTAACAAATATTAGATTGGGAACATGTTTCTACTGAATATCAACAACTCTGACAGACTTCGCTATTTTCGAGAGTATGAAACGCATT